GCTTGGTTTGGTGGCACATGACTATAAGCAATTGGGAGATTGATGCAGGATTACAGTGAGTTCAAGGCCAATGTGATCTACCTATTGAGTTCAAGGTCAAGCTGGTATAAGGGGAGTCTCAATAAATAATTTCCCAACTAAGAATCTGTATTAAACTGAATTAAGTACTAACTCTTCGATATGACAAATAATCCTGAATACTCATCAATATTGTGTACAATCCCCCATCGTTGTATATTTCTATACTATTATCAGTGTAATGAAAAGGTCATATAATTATACTGCATCACATTTAACACATTACTTAGAGCATCACATTTAACCGATCGATTCAACTACAAGCTTTTACACACTTCCACAAAAGGTATTCCTTGATTTCTCCTATGACAGAAAAGGTAATCTACCACAGAAATGAGGCAAAAGAAAGTGACTCTAGGACCCAGCTTTACAGCTTCCCAATAGCAGTACTGACTAGTTTAGTTTTTTAAGAAGTCACAGTGGCAAATACCACCCAGAACTTAGGAAGAAAAGACAAGAATTAGGAGTATGAAGTCAGCCTTGAGCTTCAGAGTGAGGCCCAGTCTCAAAAAATTAAAGAGATCTTAAGCAAGGATGAAGTGGTACATATCTTTAATCCAGCACTTGCGAGGCTGAAGAAGGCAGATTTCTGTTAAGTCTGAGGCCAGCCTGGTCTACATACTGAGAAACTGTCTCAACAAAACAAAAGCAACAAAAAAATTCTTCATAATTTAAACAAAATGTAATTTATGAACTGATTTCACAAGCAATTTTGTAATTTTAGTAATGGTCTCAACTGGACAATTTCGACAAATTCTTGGTACTTATAACCTGGGGAGGACGTATTAATCATACCTAACAGGGGAGGAAAGCTGTTAATTCTACACACAAGAAAGTCTCAAATTAAAAATTATTTAAATTTAAAAAAAAAAAAGAGAGAGAAAAAGAAAAGAACCAAGCCAGGTGTGGTGGCCCAACCCTTTAACCCTCAGAAGAGCCCGGTATATCTCGGTGAGATCCAGGCCAGCCTGATCTATGTACTGAGTTCCAGGCTAGCTAGGGCTACAAGGAGGACCCCCACCCCCAATCTCAAAAAAGCAAAACAACAAAGAATCATCTGCCTCAAAGGGTAATGGAGCTGAAACTAAGAAATAGAGCTGTAGGGACATACCTTGTACAGAAGGCCTGAGAATGTCTTTCTCTTTGTGTTTTGTTTTGTTGCCTGCTTAGGACAGTTTCAAATACAATCCACCAAATTCTCAGGAAATGTTTAACACCTGGCCTCTACTACTGATTTAATTAGAAATGATTAAATCTCTAACTTACATATCCTCCTAACCTTTCAATAACCTCATAATTACAAATAGTCTCTTGCTAGGTTAATCAGTATTACTACGTCGTCCAGTATTACTACATCGTACTTCCTAGACTGTCAACACATAAAGCAATTATTACAATAACTATGGCTGATCCCCCCCAAAGTTATAAATCTTGTTTCCTAAAAGTTTTAGTTGTTCTTAATCTAGGAGCTAGTGTACACAAACAAAGGCATAAAATATTTCAGGAATACACAGATATCTGGCCTCTATTTCTGGAATTTTTCAGTCTAACTTTTCTATATTTGTTCCAGCCAATACAACTGAGGGCCTCCTATGAACCAACTAACATTAAAAACAAAGATAAAAATATTTAACATAGTCTGCCAGGCATGGTGGTGCACGCCTTTAGTCCCAGCACTTAGGAGGCAGAGGCAGGGGGATCCCTGTGAAAGGGCAGGCTGTTCTACACTGCAAGTTCCAGGCCAGCTGGGACTACAGGAAGACCCTGTTCCAAAAAACCGGAAAAAAACAGCTAAAATATAAGACGTCAAGATGTCTGCTATAAATAGAAGGACTGAGTAAGTGTTATGGAAGCTTGCAAGGGAGAGAATGCCAGAAAGGCTTCCTAGCAGCTGATATTCAAACTGAGAAGATGGTACAGAAAACACTGCTCACATTTTAACATTAAAACTACAGTTTTCTGTTCTTTCCTGAAACTATTTTTTAAATTTTACTCTGTTATAAAAACAAGAGCAAAGCACCAAGCTGACAAGTGTATTCAGTTCAAAATGGCAACGAGTCTCACCAAATCTTAATGAAGAGTCATTAACTTTGAACTATTTTATCAAAGTAGTTCCCAATACCACCAGGATGTCCTGCCTCTGATTTTATTTTTCATTTCAACTTTTTTATTTTTGGTCTTTTTGAGACGGGGGTCCCCCTGTAGCCCCAGCTGACCTGGACTCTATGTAGACCAGGATGGCCTCCATCTCACAGGAGATCTACCTGCCTCTTCCTCCCAAGTGCTGGAGGCACTGGCTTATTTCAACTATTTTTTAAATTGACATGGATCTGCTGTCACCCAGCTATTATTCAACTTCATCCTCCACAACAGGTGACACTACAGGTTTCTACCACCACACCCCCACACCTATCTTAGTTTTGCTTTCCTTTTTTTTTTTTTTGAGACAGGGTCTCACTGTGTAACCCTGGCTGGCCTGGAACTTGCTATGTAGACCAGGCTGGCTCCAAACTCATAGGGTTCTTCCTGCCTCTGCCTCCAGAATGCTGGGACTAAAGGCGTGGTGTCCTCGCTCTGCTGTTTTTGCTTTTTAAATTTTTATTTTATTTTCTATTTTATTTTAGTCTTTTTGAGACAGGTCTCCCTGTAGCCCCTTTATTTTATTTTAGTCTTTTTTGAGACAGGGTCTCCCTGTAGCCCCAGCTGTCCTTGAACTCACAGAGATCCACCTGCCTCTGCCTCCCAAGTGCTGGGATTAAAGATGTGCGCCACCATGCCCAGCTTAAATTTTTATTTTTACTTTATGTGTATGAATGTATTGCCTGCATGTATGTTAGTGCACTCATGTCGTGCAATACCGTGGAGATCAGAAGAGGGATTCCCCTAGAACTGGAGTTAAGGACGGTTTGAAGTCCCCATGTAGGTGCTGGGAATCGAACCCAGGTCCTCTGCAAGAGCAGTCAGTGCTCTCAACAGCTGGGCCATTTCTCCAGCCCTTTTTTTGCTTTTTAATGTCTAACTTCCTCCATGTAAATATTCAGTCACCCAATGAACTTGTGTTTCTTTCTAAAATTCTGAAACTGCCAGAGATCGAATACTGCACTTTTCTTTCTTTCTTCCACTTAGTTTCTCCGTCCAAAACAGATTTTCAACCTCCTGGACTTACCCTATTACAATGCTTCACTTGAATTCTGTACCTGAGAGCTGTACCTGAGTTCCAAAGCACTACAGAGTGCCAACTGCCTAGCTTTCCATGCTTTGTCATTTGTCTAGAGGAGTACCCGCCGTTTCCACCAACTGGACTCTTTGCGCCCAGCAGCTTACACAGGTCAAAAATTCAAATTCAGGAGCTGGAGAGCTAATTGCTCTCTCTCCATGAGAAGAAACTCTGGTTGTAGGAGCTGGAGAGCTAATTGCTCTCTCTCCATGAGAAACTCTGGTTGTTTCCAGCAACCACATGGCGGCTAACAAGGGTCCTTAACACCAGTTCCAAGCGATTGAACACGTCCTTCTGGCCCCTACCAGACATCGTACACATTGTGTATATATGCAGGCAAAACACTCATACACATAAAAAAAATGTTTTTAATGTTAATTCAAATTCAAAACGACTAAATTCATTTACAGTACATGATGTCAGTAACATCCTTTAATCAATTTTACGTTTAGTTCTCAGAAGTCTACACAGTACCACTAAAGAAGTCTACTATCCTACTATAAACTTGGAAGTAAATAAACTGGAAATGCTTTGAAAAGTATGTCAAATGTCTGTGTATACCTCCTACCACCAAAGGATAGCCAAAAACGGGAGACTGAAACATACATCCAAGGTGGGATAGTATAAAAATTCCAGACCTGGGTCAAAACATCTGGCATTCGCCAATTCTCTTACTACATTTCCCACGTACAAAAACCTGCACGTGACGTACGGTAGGAGGAGTAACTTAATTTCTTAAGTCCTTATGGCAACAGTAATTCAGAAACCCAATCACACTCCTCCCCAGCTGTGCTCGGAAGAGTTGCTAGAGCACCAAAAAATAAAAATAAAAAAACCTTTTATTCCATTGACCAGACCCTAATAGACAAGGTCTGGAGAAGCGAACGCACTTCCGACTCGCCCCAACCTAACCCTCTGGCTGACCCAACATCCCCGCTCCGAGACTCCAAGACAAATAAACCCAACCCACAGAGAGCTGCGGGGGAGACCTTAATCCCGTAAGAGCCAGCCCACCGCGAGCTACTCCGCTCCGCCCCGGGAATGAATGAGCCATACCGAGCTGCGGGCTAGTTGGGCCTGGGCTGCCGCCCAAGACCCCGAGCCCACCCCCACGCTTGCGGATCTTCTCCCCGGGCCTCCAGAGCCGGGCCCCGCCCCTCACTCGCGCCCGACGATGCGGGCCGGGCGTGAGGCTCGGAGGCGGGGGAGGGCCCGAAGCACGCCGTGCAGCCGCCCGTCCGGAGCCGAGCAGCAGCCCGCGGGCCCCGGCGCCGCGCCACACTTACAGGAAGGCGAGCGTCCGGAGTCAGGGCCAGGCCCGTCCTCACCCGACGCCCAGACAGCAGCGCGCGGCCGCCAGGAAACCGTCGCCGCCGCCACTACCGACCGCCGCTCCGGCACACCGCGCTCAGGGCCCGACTGCGTCACACGACGCCCGCCGTCCCTGTTCGGCCCCGGGCGCCCCGCCCTCGCCGTCCCAGCATTGGCAGACCCGGCCGCCACTCCGGGCCCGCCCCGTTACTCATTGGGCGACGAGTCTTTTGAACCCCGAACGTGAGGGCGGTCTCCGGGCTCAGGAGCGGAGGGGAAGAGGAGGGGCGGAACAAAAGGGAGGGCCGATGGGAGGGACGTGGATTCCCACCCCTTGTGCTGCGACGGTTGGCTGGCCGGGAGGCGTGACGTCACACAGGGCTCCTCGAAGTGGGCTGGTGAGTGGCTAGTTGAGTGTGTGCGCCTGGCCGGATGTGGCAGAACCGGAGTGACGTCTGGCCGAGACTCCGCCCCCTTCTTTCCAGCGCGGAGACTCAGGCTGCGGAAGCTCCGGCCAATCAGAGGGGAGGCCCAGGATGGCACGGTAACTTTTCTACCCTTCTCTCGCTGCGGTCCGCGGGCGGTGATGGGAAGGCTCCCTGACCATCGAACTCGCACTTCCTGTCCAGGCCTCTTCCGGAACTCAAGGTCCCTCCTGGCAGCCCCATCTGTCTGCAAAGCTTGCCTGCAGCCAGTACGAGGTCCCAAATACCCCACTGCTTTCCAGACCTAAGCACACCGTAAGATTGAGCCGAGGCACGCGCGGCCGGCTGCTAGGGTGGACCTTCGGCTTCAGCTGCACTTTGAGAACCTCTACTTATTCTTAAAGGCTTAATGCAAATGTTCAGCCTTCTCCGGAAACCGTTTCCCAACTAACCTCTCTCAGCGACTTGGGGTGATGCTGGGCCAGTCATCTGCCAGGGTCTTGCTTCTTTGTATCGTGTTAATTGTTTTCTTGTGTTCTGTGCCGTTTCCCTCCCCTGGTCTTGGAGATCAGAGCTGCATTCTCATCCTTTGGGCATCTCTTTCCTCCCCAGACCTAGCTCAGAGCAGAGGAGTGGGCATGTTCTAGAAACCAAACCTCTCTAATGATTGAGGGTCTCACAACCGAATAACAGGAGCTGTGCTCAAAAAGTAAAGGGGGTGCACACTACCTCTCCACCACCACTTCCTGGGACGTCAGTGTCCATCTGTAATAAGATTTACTCAGAATTTAGATAAATCTCCCCTCCACAGGTTTTCAGGGGTAGCAAGGAATTAAATTGTCACTCTTTGTTAAAAGGTAAGTGATGAGCTGCAAGTGGTGGCCCAAGGCTTTGATTTCAGCTCTCCAGAGGCAGAGGCAGGTGGAGCTCTGTGAATTTGAGGCCAGCCTGGTCTACATAGGGAGTTGCAAGCCAGCCAGAGCTACACAGTGAGACCCTGTCAAAAAAAAAAGGTGATATGGCAACTGGGCATGTAGTTCAGTTGGTAGAGTGCTTGCCTAGCATGCGTGAAGCCCTTGGGTTCAATCCCAACCACCACATAAACAGGTGTACACACCCCCAGTATTTGGAAAGCCATAAAGCAGGAGGATCCGACATTCAGGGTCTGGCTGGCAAGATAGCTCAGCAGATAAAGACCTTTGCTGCCAACAATGATGACCTGAGTGGGATCCTTGGAACCTACAATGGTGGGAAGAGAGAAACAGACTCCCACAAGTTATTCACCTGACCTCCACACAAGCACCGTGGAACAGCAACCACATCCATTCACACACATAATAAATATGCAGCTGGAGAGATGGCTCAGTCGTTAAGAACACTGGTTGTTCTTGCAGAAGACCCGGGTTCAAATCCTAACACGCACATGGCAGCTAACAACTGTCCCTAACTCCAGTTTCAGGGGATCTGACAGCCTCTTTTGTTCTCCGTTGGCATTGCACGACACAGGTGCACTTACCTACGTGCAGGCAAGACACGCATACACATAAAAATAAATAAAATATTTTTAAAACAATAAATGAAATTTTTTAAAATTAAGTGACGTGAAGATGAAATAAGATAGTAAATCATGATACATTGTAGATGTTCAGTGTATACAGGAAAGAAAAGTTAATGTATGGATGACCGAGAGGAAAATGAGTTCGAACGCTGGTCTGCAGCCACTTCCCCCCAACTCCCCTGTCCAAACACCTCTTATTTTCCCATCACCCTCTTTGTCCTTGCTGTACATCAGAAGGTGGCCAAGAACTCTGCTGGATAGCTTTAGTGTCAACTTGACACACCTGGTTTGAGGGAGCCTGAATTGGGGAATTACCTCCATAGGACTGGCCTTATGGCCATGTCTGAGGGGCATCTTCTTGATTGTTGAGTGATATGGGAGGGTCCAGCACACTGTGGGTGGTGCCACCCCTGGGCAGGTGGGCCTGTGTTGCATAAGAAAGCAGCTGAGCAGGGGCCAGGAGAGCAAGCTAGTAGGCAGTGTTCCTCCATGGCCTGTGCTCCAGCTCCTGCCTCCAGGTTCCTGCCCTGAGTTCCTACCTTGGGCTCCCAGATGAACTATGACCTGGGATATGTAAGCTAAATAAACCCTTTCCTCTCCAAGTTGGTAGTATTTTGTCACAGCAATGGAGAAACAAACCAAGACAGAAATTGGTACCAGAGAGTGGGATATTGTTGTGAAAGACCTGACCTTGGTATTTTTGGGAGGACTGTGGAAGTGTGCTCAGAGTTTGTTGCTGTGGAGCTTGGAACAGTTATGCTGAAAGAGTTGTAGACAATGGAGGCCTAGCTTATGAAGCTTTAAAGGGAAGCGGAGACTATCAGGGCTGTTCCTGTGAGATTTTGAATTGAGAATCTGTGGGTGCTGGTCGGCTGGGACTGAAGAATCAGCTATGGTTAAGAAGAGACCAGAACCTGAAGTAAAACCTTCGCTTTACTGGGACAATTGATGCTGGTTAGCTGAGGCTGAAAAAACAGCTATAACAAGAGACCAGAATCAAATTGTTGAAATCTGTGAAGTATTTCCTCAGGGTCCACACACAGAAGCTGTGGTTGAGAGGGAACCTGAGCCTCCATCTCTAGCTGAAAGCAGGACTTGGTGATGTGTAAGAGTTCTGGTATTGAAAGTGTGAAGGGGTCACAGAGAGCAGCTGAGGCTTGGCACTCTGAGAGGCCAGGAAAGGCCATAGGTGACAGTGCAGCTTCAGTTGCAGTGAAGACCCAGGATTGAAAGGGTCATAGAGAGAATCTGAGGCTTTGCACCCCAAGAGGCAAGAAGAGGCCATTGGTGAAGGTGTAGCCTCAGTGTCAGTGGAGACCCCAGCTTTTTGGAGATGCCAGGACCATGGGATGACCACCAAAGGCAGTGGCAGGTGTGGAATGGAGTTGGCCTGGGTGTTTGAGATGAGTTGTGTGTGTTGTGGACAGCAGAGTCAGAGGTGGAGCTGCCAGAACCCTTTGGAGCCCAGAAGATCTTGCGTGAATCCCAGATGTCCAGCCTTGAGCAACTTTGCTGGACTTTGGTTTTGCTAAGGTGTGTCCAATTCTTCCCTTTGAAAGAACACAGTATTTGTTTTGGATTTTACAGGAGCACCCAGATAAAAGACTTTTCAAAGAGACTGTGGACTTTTAAGTGTTTGGATTTTTTAAGGACTTGTGGGGCTTTTAAGGGTGTACTGTCTTATGTTCTGATATTAATGTTAACATCATATCTTGGGAATAAGAATTGGAAAGGTTGTGGTTTAATAATGATGTGTTTGTGTGTCAAGTTGACAAGGGGTCAATTGTACTGGATAGCTTTAGTGTCAACTTGACACACCTGGGTTGAGGAGCCTCAATTGGGGAATTGCCTTCATAGGACTGGCCTGTGACCACATCTGTGGGGCATCTTCTTGATGAGTGATATGGGCGGGCCCAGCCCACTGTGGGTGGTGCCACCTCTGGGCAGGTGGGCATGTGTTGCATAAGAAAGCAGGCTGGAGAGATGGCTCAGTGGTTAAGAACACTGGTTATTCTTGCAGAAGACCCAGGCTGAAATCACAGCACCCACATGGCAGCTAACAACTGTCTGTAACTCCAGTTCCAGGGGATCCAACACCCTCTTCTCTCTTCCGCAGGCATTGCACAACATGGGTGCACTTACACACATGGCAGGCAATACACCCATACCATACACATAAAATAAAATAAAAATTAAATTAAATTAAATTAAAAAAAAAAAAAGCAGGCTGAGCAGGGGCCAGGGAGCAAGCCAGTAAGCAGTGTTCCTCCATGGACTGTGCTCCAGCTCCTACATCCAGGTTCTTGCCCTGAGTTCCCACCTTAGGCTCCCTGATGAACTCTGACCTGGGAGATGTAAGATAATATAAACCCTGTCCTCCACAAGTTGGTATTGTTCAGAGTATTTTGTCACAGCAATGGAGAAACAACCTAGGACAAACTCTAACCCCAGCCCTCTGAAAGCAAAGCAGAATATCAAGTTCAAATCAGCCTGGGCTGCATGAGATTCTGCCTTAAAAACAAAACCAACAAGAAAGTGTCATTGGTTCTCACTGGATACTTACAATGGCTTCCTCGCTGCCATCCCAAACCTTTGATATTTTTTGGGCAAGAGGAGGGGTCCTTCAGTCCTCAAACACAACTTCATTTAAGCCTACCCTGGACATTTATTGTAGTGTCCTTAAGGCCCAGCACACCAGTAGATATACTTTAGATTTCTGATACATAGATGAGTGAATTATTTTCCTTAGCAGGGGAATAATAGAATTGTTGGACTTTGAAATCAGATAATCTGGAGTTTAAATCTAGGTGCAACTATGATTGTGTATTTAGGAAATTCCTAACCCTCTGAACTTCAGCGTCTTCTGTAAAATAGGAATAAAATAACTCTGATACCTTACACAGCTATTAGAATTAAATGAGAATCTCTCTCTCTCTCTCTCTCTCTCTATATTAGAGAGAGAGAGAGAGAGAGAGAGAGAGAAAAAATGAGAATATATATAGAGAGAGAGCATTTGGTATGGTATGTTGTATACAGTACAAACCCTCAATAAGTGATAGATATCAATAAGTGATAGATATATTTTTATTCCTTAAAAATTGGACTCTCAGGGCTGGAGAGATGGCTCAGCAGTTAAGAACACTGGTGGTGCCTGGTGTGGTGGCACATGCCTTTAATCCCAGCACTCCGGAGACAGAGGCAGACAGATCTCTGTGAGTTCAAGGCCAGCCTGGTCTACATAGTGAGTTCCAGGACAGCTGGGGCTGCAAGGAGACCCTGTCTCAAAAAGACCAAAAAAACCCAAAACACTGGTGGCTCTTGCAGAATACCGGGGTTCTAATCCCAGCACCCACATGGCAGCTAACACCTGTCTGTAACTCCCGTCCCAGGGGATCTGACAGCCTCTTCTGACCTCCGAGGGCATGGCACGATACAGGTGCACTTACTTACATGCAAGCAATACATGCATATACATAAAATAAAAATAATAAAATATTTTTTTAAAAATTGGACTTGCTGGGCGTGGCAGCACACGCCTTTAATCCCAGCACTTGGGAGGCA